TATTTTAATACAACATTAGGAAATGTAAAAGTAACGCCTTAACTCACTATTCTTATGTTGTCATAAGGGCCTCCAATATTTTAATATAACAGTTACTTTTCCTTTTTCTAAATCTTAATTTTCAGAATTACTAAACCATCTGATTTCATTACTTGTATATTTTTAATCTGTGACTTTTACATGTATATCTTCATGTAACTTGTTTTCTTAATAGTATTTCAAATTTCACTCAGTTATTGTAATCCTTCTTATACAAAATACTGCTACATGCTTACATTAACATTTCACATCAAATAAAATTATAGGCATTATTAACCCAGATCTAACATATTTGGGCAACTCTGATGATGATGGCAAACCTTAGCTGCCATAGAAATGTTAGGCCTTTTAAAAGCTTTAATTAGTGCAGTAAAACATTGTTCCCCTTCTTAATTATTTTTATTTAGTAACACATTTGTATCATCTTTTTTATTGACAAATTGGAGATTCTGTATCTTGTGTCTTTCATAATGGATTACCTTGAAATTTGGTATATGAAGTAAGAGTCCAGTAGAGCACATCCACTGAAAATATGTGATAGTTTTGGTTACTATAGTCCGAGCTACAGAAGGTGGAAATTAACTAATCTATCACTCCTGTTAATAACACATAGTGTGTCCTGCAGGTTGTTTTGGCTGCATGACACTCTACCATGTGTCTTGATAACAAAGTAGAGAAGAAAAAATCGTCTTGTCAAATTGTGTTCGAGTAACTTAACCAGCCTGTGGGGACTTTAGCAAAAAGAGACAATTATTTAAAGCTATGGATACAAATGTGGTATTTAAGTGGGTAACAAACACCTGTATATATATATATATATATATGTTTTAATATTTTAAAACAAGTGTTTATTGTTGAAATTTATCACCAACAAGTCATAGACACCTACTGTAAAGAATCCAGCCCATCCATACATATAAAAACCTGACAATTCTGTGTATCTTCCTCTTTTGGTCAGAGCTGTCAAGTACCACAGAGAGCTGTGACACACAGATATCACAGAATACAGCATCATTCACCACCTTGAAGAGGTGTGACACACAGATATCACAGAATACAGCATCATTCACCACCCTGAAGAGGTGTGACACACAGATATCACAGAATACAGCATCATTCACCACCTTGAAGAGGTGTGACACAAATATCACAGAATACAGCATCATTCACCACCTCGAAGAGCTGTGACACACAGATATCACAAAATACAGCGTCATTCACCACCTCGAAGAGGTGTGACACACAGATATCACAGAATACACCATCATTCACCACCTCAAAGAGGTGTGACACACAAATATCACAAAATACAGCCTCATTCACCACCTCGTAGAGGTGTGACACACAGATATCACAGAATACAGCATCATTGACCTTCACAGAGAGCTTTGACACACAGATATCATAGAATACAGCATCATTGACCATCATGGAGTGCTTTATCACACAGGTATCACAGAATACAGCATCATTGACCTTCACAGAGAGCTTTGACACACAGATATCATAGAATACAGCATCATTGACCATCATGGAGTGCTTTATCACACAGGTATCACAGAATACAGCATCATTCATCACCACGGAGAGCTGTGACACACAGATATCATAGAATACAGCATCATTCACCACCATGGAGAGCTGTGACACACAGATATCACAGAATACAGCATCATTCACCACCTCGAAGAGGTGTGACACACAAATATCACAGAATACACCATCATTCACCACCTCGAAGAGGTGTGACACACATGGAGAGCTGTGACACAAGGATTTCACAGAATTCATAACATCCATGGAAAATAGTATTGGAAAGAAAAAAGCAATTTTTGATTTTTGTTATATCAACTTAGATTATGTAAACTCAAAATATAGGCTAATAATATCAATTTTTGGATTCAGTATCCTTGAAATATTTTCAAAAGTCACGTTTCAAACTTTCAACAATAAATGCTATTTGAAATCAAATTTTGTGAGAAACAGACCAGTCTACAATTGGAAGAGTTGGACTTCTACCAACTGGATTACCAAGAAAAAAAAGACCTAGACTCTGAAAACCTGTTTCACTTGCAGTTTCTAGTTAAAAAAATGTAGTATGTTAATTACTTACCACTAACTAACAGATTTCATAATGTGCAGCAAGTTTTACAAAAGACGTACAACAAGGACAGCTCAACTTTATAAAATATGCATCAAGCATTTCTGTGTTTTGTTTCATCAACTGCACTAAACACTAGTGTAAGAACTCGACAAACTTCAGCACAGATTATATTACAGTATAATTAACTGATCTTCCATCCAAACCAATGACTTGTAAATATTTCTAGTGGTAAATAAAGAGATCTCTGAAACTAATCACACTGAGAGAAGCTAATAACAACTTACTTTAAAGATCGTTCTGCCCCGTCTGCAGCAGAACGAAGCTGGACAGCCACATCTTGAGCTCTGATGTGGACATCATCTTGATTACTTACTTCTGCTAGCTTAAGCTGTAATATGCCATTCTCTTCCTGTAGACTCTTCATCAGGGTCTAAAAGTGTTAAACTAATCTTCATAAATACAACAGCAAGTCATTTACCAGAACAAACTGGGTTTTAATTACATCAAGATGTTTGATGGTAACAACTACATTTTAAACATTAAGTGAAATTTACACATTTAAAACAAAGATAGGGCACTATAAGGTACTATGTCCTTTATATAATTCTACAAAAGACTTACAAACATTAATAAAACATATTTTCACATGACTAATTCTTTGTCTTCTTAACAACTGTTCACCTGTATTTTGCACTTTGAAAACAAAATATGACAATGTTAATTTTTTTTGTTTTTAAAGCTGAGCAAATAAAAGGTCCCAGCTAACATAATAAGCGTAATTAGGGTTAATACTTTCTCTACTGACAAAAACAGCTGTCTGGGAATTAACAAAAACAGAAAAATGCATTACACACAGACAACCAATTGTGGAAAGTTAACAAAGAGTTTTGATAAGATGTTCACTTTATTCATCCTGTGTTGCTCAATACGTGTGAAAGAGTTAGCTGACCCAACTACTGTTAAATTCTAGAAATGAGCCAATCAATACTCACTTGAGCTGTTTTAAGTTCTTGTTTCAATTTTGTGACTGTGGCTTCTGCAGTGATGGCCCGTTTCTAAAGAAAATATAAGTGTCCAATAAACAATCCTTGAAGTTTATTAATCTTATAAAGTATGCTATTAGTATATTGTACCAACTAACTTTGTTGTTAATAATATTAAAGAAAGATTGTTTACTTTTACTACAAACAAGGTAGTAAAGTTTTATCCATTCTTTGTTTTTAAGGAAATGACATGCTTATTGTTTTAATAATTACCAAGGCAAAACAAAGAAAAGAAAAGCTTCTTTAAATTATAAAATTTGTCATATGTGGTGGTTTGTTTACTTTCAGATATTCTTGCAAAGCTACTCAAGATAGAGGTCCTAGAATTTCCAAGAGGCAAATGAGCAGAAAATATAGTTGAGCTGGTCAAAGAGGGGCAATGAAAAGAACCCAGGACAGATACTGTGAATTAAAGACAGACTGTGGAAAGAAGTTGAAGAGGAGGAGATACACATACAGAATGAGGATGGACCAATCCAGACTCAGGGGGATTACGACTATGGCCATGGAGTCTGGAACTGGTGACCAACAGAGTGGAAAGTGTAGAGGGTAGTCTCATATGAATTGATAAGAGGACATTCAATATGGTAATAAATCCACAGGAACACCAAGAGATGTAAGGACCACTCTGTCTGAAGGATTGATTCTGAGTGAGACAACCAATCCACCACTAAATTCAAAGCTCTCTAATCCATGAAGGCCAAGAACCAGATTTCGTTGTTGTAAGCCCAAAAGTGTGGCTCTAGAACATGAAATTAGAAGTCTCAAGAGTGAGTACCTTCCTGTTAGTAAATGCAGCAAACAACAGTACAGTTGTCAAAACAAAACAAAATAGAATGTCTAAACAGCTGTAACAAAAGGCAGAGGCAGGCCCAATGAAATGTCCTTATCTCAAGACCTTAACTGGAAAGACCACTTCACAGAAGACCAAACACTAAAAATGGTGAAGGTATTCAGAACTGCACCCCACCCAACTAGAAAGACATTCATGAACATATGTACTTCTAGGTGCGATGGAAAAAGATGGATGCTCAGAGTGGAGTGGAAAGATACGAGCCATCATGAGAATGAGAGGTAAAAAGATGGTAAAATGGAAAATTAATGAGAGAAGACAATGGATCGTGGTATTTCCACTGATCTGCAAAACATTCATTGAAACAAAAACATAAGAAGGCACATCAAGAGGAAGAAGAGACACAAGAAAGAAAGAACTTCACATGTAAGAAGACTTGAAAATTAGAAGCTCCATTATATTAGAAACGTAAAGGAAAAGGTTGAGCCCAACTTTGAAACAAAGTGATAAAGACTCTCAAATGAATTAGATAGCAAATGGAAGTCAATACTGAATTAGAAGCCTGATAGTAGATTCCCAAAGGAGAAGGGAGGTTGTAGTAGATGATGCCTCCAAGGATAGGGCAAGGAAATGCCCAATGACCATATAGTAATGTAAATGAAGACCCCACATGTGCATTAACTGTGTAAAGCATTCAGAAACAAATAAAAATAGGATAGTGTGAGTCCTGAAAGACAAAGAAAGCCCCTAAAAGAAAACCTGCATGATCCAAGGTTTTCAACGAAATAAGTCTACAGGCTCCCAAGGATCAAACCTGAGGAGTGGTTGCAGCAACAATTGATCATGGTGCCCCACAATGGCTGGCCTTTCAGGAGGGGGAAACACCACAAGGAGCCACAGATTGAAAAACTACCTAAAATGTATGCATGAAGAAAGAGTGATCCAACTCCAGAAAATAAGACATCCCCAAAACAATGAAAATGAGTGAATTGGGCAACATGAAGAACAGGTTAGTGTGACCTTCCCCCACAAAGTTGTCATAGTAGCAATTCAGAACTTCAGACAGGACTCATACTTAATTTAATTTTTTTAGGGAGCCAACTAGGCTCCCCAAAACATAAAACATGCATTTTTCTAGGGCCCACAAGCAGTTTTAGGGGCCAATTATATAGTTCATTGTAAAATGTACTTTATAGTGGAGGTTATCAGAAAAGTGACTGAATTAAACAGTGGATGTTATGTAAATTGAAAGGAACTAAAAATATCAACATATCTCAATTTAATTAGTTGTGAACTCGTATTTCATGAAAAATAAAAATAAAACACAAGCCAAACCATTTAATTTTTTTCAGACCAATTAAATGATATTTATTTATATATATGTAATAGGCTAATGCCTGTTTGTCCGCAAAACTCCTCCCACAGATTAAGTCTGATTTGGATGAAACTTCGCACGATTTTTCAACATCATAAGGGGAAGTTCCTAACAAAGTTTCATTACATTTGGGTCTCTTATAAAAAAAAGTTTATCTCTGCATGTGTCCACTTTTTTTAAGATAGAAGTCAATAACAGTTTTATATTGCCCCCAAATGAAAAATGTTATAAAATAGACCCTCACTAGAATTAAAAAATTATACGACTTTAATTTATAACATTTTTTTCCTAAATAACTTCCTTATTGGAGAAATGGTACTTCTTCTTTTTAATAATGTATGTTCATTTTGAACATTTATTATTATTAAACATAATATTGTGGTAAAGTGAGTTTAATGGAGACTTTCAAAGTGAGTGTTCCTAGTGGAAAATCATTGTGATATTTCAGAAGAAAAGTGATTTTTTCTGCTAGAGAATCCAAGCGTACACCATGAACTGAATTGTTCTGTGACTGAAGGAATTGCAAGTCCTTCATATGGAGTTCATTTCATACAAATTTACAGGAATACTATAGTATCTCAACCTTCGTAAGTTACACAAGTATTTCTTTACTTTAGTACAAGTATAAAGTGGTCAAAAACATTGAAAATTACAGTGTGAAAAGTTGCCAAACACAAAAATGACTTATCACAGAGAAAGTCTGAAACTTTGAGAAGGAAAATGAATGTCAGGATGCAAGTTACAGAAAGGAAGAGCAAGAGAAAGATAGGCTTGCTGACCAAGTTATGAGGCAAGATCCAGTGAGAAGAAGCCAGGAATAAACCCAAAATACAGAAGCACACTGTTCAGCTTGCTAAGATCCTGACCAAACAGCCACACATAGGGCAATGTTTCTGCTAGTTTCATATACGAACTTTAACTTCTCTCTCTTTAAAGTGTGTCAAAATAAATAATGAAAGAAAATCTTTGCAACACTGTTAGTGTAATCAATTCTTGTTCCATATAATTGATACTTGAAACTGTCTGTACTTGGTGAAACTCAATAATTACAGAATTTCACAAATACAATATTTATATAACAACCATGGATCCTAATGATGCCTTTACTGGTGAAATCATGGTGGTTAACAAATGATGTATTTGTCAAAAGTACAGTTGTCTTGTTTTTCATCAATTCTGTATTCTTGTTCCCATATAACCTATTATCATCTAGCTGACACATATTTGTCAATAAAATGTTGAACACTTTCAATGGAGAGATGGAAAAATCATACAATTTACATTACCACTAACTTTATAGTGATAAGTTATTTCACATCCTGAAACAGCTGTTAATTAGTCATTAATTAATCTGAATTTGTAATAAGCAAAATCATAACATTAGCAACATAAAGAAAACATGCAAATAGCTCTAAATAGGCTTAGATGCTGAAGAGGTAAACTTAAATTAGGCAAGAGTAAAGGAACAAATGTCAAATTGTTAGTTATCATAGAAGAACAGATAAGGGAGAGCATTACCCAATTCTCATCAGAGATAAAAGAATCAGAAGCAAAGGCTGGTTGTGGAAAGAACTGATCAAAATAGTCCAAAAGATAATGTAAATGCAGAAAAAGTTACAGATGCAGGAGTTTGCAATTCCTTGGTTTGAGATGAAGAATGTAGGATAAAAGCAACAACATAATGTATAATGGTGGTCAAAATGCTCACCCTCAAAGTAACTCCAGTAACCATATTGCTATTTCAAAAAATAAGAGAACTCCTAGGAGGACAGATGGATTTGGATCTTGGAAGGTTCCAGAAATATGGATATGAGAAACTCTATTCAATAAGGTACACAACACTGAATTCATGGAAAGTAGTAATATTAGTACTATAATTATTATTTTAAAAGCAGATTCGGTATGCATTTGTTACTTAGGCCTTGGTCGTTTTCCCATAGATGAAGTTGGGATTAATTCCCAAAACCAGGATTCTAGGTTAATAATGATGAGGATTATTCCTGTCAAACAAACCAAATAACAGACTCTGAAACACATGTTCAAAATCTCATAATTTGATTAAGAGAAGAAATCAAACTGTGTTATCTTTGAAGAAAAATAAGCAATTATTTAAAGCTCTGGATACAATTGTGATAACCAATAATGTAACACATTTTTTGTATAATAGTTTGATTTGTTTTGGATATATTGTGTGCTGTCCATTTATTTTTCAAATTTATTGCCATAAAATCACGGACACCTACTGTAAAGAATCTGGCCCATATAAAACTGACACAAATTAATGTAAAAAGAAAGCTCTAACTAAAACCAATTTTAAAAATTAGGACCTTCCTTTTTTTGAAATAAAAAATATTAAGTTAAAAAAAATAACATTTCAAATGTTAATTAAAAGCTGAAAATAATAAGTGCAAAGATTCCATAATTCTTAATGAAAAACGAACACAACATTGCTGAGTAACAGAAGGAACTTAAACATTCAGAAAATAGTCCTTTATTCTTTAGGGATGCACTGGAAAAATAAGGAAAGTCTACCTTCTGAAAGTGCTTGGGTTATGTGTTTTTCTGCTTTGTGATTATATGCAATGCAGACATTTTGACATTTTAAATATTTGAGTAAAACAAATATTATTCAGTATTAATACTATGTCATTAACTTAACTGTAGAACATTACTTTTCTGAAATATTTATAATGTTTAAGATAACAAAATTGTCAGGTTTTGTAAGCCCGGATTCTTTACAGAGATGTCTGTGATTTGTTGGTGATCAATTTTGACTGCAAACAGCAACACAGTCTACTTGTTTTAAGAATAATATATTAAAAACAAATCAATCGTATATATATATATAAATATTTGTTACACTGTTGACTACCACAGTTGTTTCCACATCTTTAAATAATTGTCTCTTTTTCATCAAAGTCCACATGGGTTGGTTCAGTTACTTTAGAATGCAACTGATAGGACAAATTCTTCTTCTTTACCCTGTTATTACAATACAGTCTGTGATAATTTCACTTTGAAAATCACAACTGTATAGTCTTTTTATTGCTAAACTCACAATCATGCAGTCTAGAAATAGAACTAAATAATGATTTTTAACACATATTTATACTCTAACAGAAGTCTAGAACATTCCATGCAATACTATATATTCCGATGCAATAATACTCAATTAAATAAATGAGAACTTCAGAAAGTTCTAGCAACATGATGCAATAATCTCACTATTGTAAACAATCACTAATTCATAACAATTGAACCATGCACAGTATGATTCTTAAATAGTTATACAAATAAACTTACCAAAAAATATCACTTCAAAAACAACTAAATATGACACCCGCATTATATCATAATGCTTGCGTTAAACTTAAACAGTCATGTATATCTAACAAATACTTTCTTAACCTTTTGTATCTAAGCTCCAACGAAACATTTATTTAAATACATATAAAAGTTTTAAACAATGTTTATACCTAGTTTCGTGCGAGTCCATTGTGTGCTTTGAATGTTACATTTACAGAGAAAGCAGCAAGAAAAAACTTACTGTGCTATTTTCAAGATTTAATTCTACTTGTTGGATCATCTTTTCTAGTGTAACAGTTTCTTCAGTTTCTTTTTTTTTAAACTGTTCAACCAAATGTTCTAGTGATTCTATCCTGAAAATAAAAAAAGATTTCTAAGTCTTGCATAGTGTGTCAAGATTAACTCTCGAGATATTTTAATTGAAAAGTAAAATTAGACTGTTACTCTTATAACATACTCTCTACCCCAAAGTACAAAGCACATATATTTTTTTCTACTAACTGGATTTGAACCATAGACAAACAGAAACACAGCCTGGCAAGCTAACCACTAGGTCATGTACACATAGAGCTGTTGAATTAACTTCATTAATTTATGAGCACTGGTTAAATAAATCACGTAAAATAACTGATTATTTGAAATTATAACAAAATCAATTAATGTCACAAAAATAATCAATTAACTGAAATAACTGTTTCCAATTATTATAGTTTTCAATTATTCCAACTCTCCAAGTAATCAAACTAGCACCATTATTATATCTTCTTCTTATTTTTGGTTAATTGAAAGTTATTCAGCTTAATCAATTTGTTTAATCAGAATCAGTGTTTTCACTTGTTACTATTGGTAGATGGCAGCCATGTTGCCAACATGTGTTGGTTGATGGCTGTCATGTTGCCCCTAAGTAAAAGCATTCATTTACACATTATCTAAAAGTATGCTCTTTGGATGAGTCATTTTTGTCACTTTCTATTAAAAAGAGAATATTACATGTATGCTTGTAACAAGTGTGCACTGACACATGCCTTATTGTACCTTTGTCTAGGTACAAGCTAAAAAGTTCCTAACGTAACAAATTTATGCTGTCATTTTTTTGTTTCGCCTTGGAGTTAATACATTGAAGATGAAGTGTGTGTTATTGTCTATTATGCATATACTAATGGCTTCTACATAAGGCTTGTTAACTTTAATTACAAATGTTGTCTCTGTAATTGCATCTATGATGCCTGATGCCTTAAAATCTAATCACACATTATACTGTTATGGCACCATTTTTGAATGATATCTGCACAGTTCAGCTTTCAAAGATTTTCTCTTTAAACAGATATCATAAATGACAATATACTGCACAAAAATAAAACCACACCAAAGTACGCACAGTTTGTATACAATCAACTTATAACAAGTTTCATCAATGACAATATGCTGCATAAAAAGAAAACCACATGAAAGTACGACAACTAACCCTGTCACCTCAGGTACGTCAAAGCGCGAATGTTACATTCAAAATTTAAACTACTTCATTATGAACGTATATGAATAAACTCAGAATTAGAATGTAGATAACAAATCAAAGTTTAGTATTATTTAAGACATAATTTTATAAGGAAATATTTAAAATAATTCTCAATCTCCCCTAGTATGAGAACTGTGATGTTTGTTGTCTATGTCTTACCTCTTGTCTAATGTTTTTACCACCTCTCCAAGAAGTACAACATTTTATGTAAATTACTCACTATAACATGTCATTACACATGCAATGTATAATTTACATAGCCTTCAATTTCATTTAGTTACAGAGCAATAAAAGAGAAAATCAGACCTCTCTTGCCATGCCCACCTGTCCCATCCTTTCTTTTCAAACTTGCTAATAGCTCTCTTTGCCATTTAAGACTACATTACTTATAACCAATAGAAAGCTACAGTTTTTCTCTATCAGATAACGTATCAAATTAAATTGTTTTCTATACAGAGAATCGTTTATTTTCCTTCCAATTTAAACTTTATTCCCAGGAGAAACACAATGACGACCTTAACAGAGTTTTTAACAGCTTTCATCACAGTTAGAAAGCCAGAAAAATTATGATAATTATGGAACATTGTTTCCTTTTTTATGTTATTTTTCTGTGTTATTTGGTGTATTATTTAATTAAATAGAAATTATTTAACCCAATAGTACCATTAGTATAAAAAAGTAGGATTAAGTTTCATTGACAGTCAAAAGTAAAAAAAAAAAAAAAAAAAAAATACAGGTAAGTAATTTTCTTTTTTGTTTTTCATTTGTATTCTTTATTTATTACTATAAAAGTAACTAAAATAAATAAATTGAATTTTTTTTAGGTTAGAGAAACTAAATAATAATAATAATTTTTATGAGGTATACTCCCAAGTAGTCCATGCATTATATAATTTGATACTGTGATGTGAGCACATTTGCCACACGATTTACATCTTATAATGTCGTGAATAGTAGTTAGACACGGTTCAAAGTGCAATAAAGTAATAAAATTTCTGTATGAATAGATATATACTGTTACAGGCTTTAAGCTACTTAGGATAAACAGTTGTTAGAATTTTTAGTCATTCCAGAAATAAAATAGGGGAAATTTTGAATTATTTCCTAATTTTTTACGGTGGTTACAAAGTTGGTCAAATCATCTGACCTCGTATAGAGTTAGGGTAAAGAAAATAACAGATAAAGTAAGAAACATCTGATATTTATTTAGAAGGTTTTAGGGTTTATGTAAATGATACTTGAAAATTTTGAGATGAAGAAAAGTATTGTTAATCATATCATGAAAATTATTTTGCACTCATAAAAGGAAACAACATGTAGTGTAAATTGTACAGTTTTTCATTGAACATTAACATGTCCTTTTCCATTTGCAGAAAGTAAACATGTAGTGTAAATTGTAAATAAAGTTTTTCACTGAGATTGAAGTATTTTTTCCCTTATTTTTTTAGTTTATTAAATTCTACCTATGGAACCCATGAAAATCTCACTGGGACTCTCAAAAAAGAAAAGGTTGAGAGTTTGGGACCCTAATGAGAACCCTGATTTTTTGTATAAGCAATTAAATTTTGTCATTTGAAATTCTTACAAATGTTTGCATTTGTAAATTATTATAAGGAAGTAAATGTTATAAAATAATTTATTCAACTACCTATACATAAAAATGACTTATTAGTTTTCTTTTAACAAAAACTAAATCATCAAACAAACTAGCCAACTGTTAGGTGCTAAACAAATATAGAAAGCAGTATTATTATGAGCTTAACTGAAACAAAAAAACAATAAGCAACTCAAAAACAAAGCAAAATCATAATCCTACTACGTAGTAAATTCATTTCTCCATCCCTTACACACTTGTCACAAATGTTTTTGGAACTAAAAACTAGTAGTTACCCACATTTTTTTTTCACTAAATTTTTTCATTCTAAAAAAAGATATAAAGCTAAAGAAACAAAGCTATGTAGATATTTGTTGAAGTTAACAAACGAAAATGTTATAAATGAGCAATTACACAAGGAAATAATCAACTGCTCACATGCTGATATTCCTTATGAATTATCAAAAATACATAAACTGTCCACTAAGATTTATGTCAAATATTGAATGCTATAAATATAAACTAGCTACATGTTTGAACAATGGTATAAAGAAATTTATATGTAATGAATATACCTTGAGAGACATTTTTGTATTTGTTAATAATATCAAAGAGTTAAATTTTGATCATGATGTACTGATCACTAGTTTTCATGTAGAAGTTAGTACTTTCCTTATCTGAAAATGTATTCCTGATAAAATCTCATCCTCACACACAGAATTGTTTGATATTTTGTGCATCTGCCTATGAGACTTGCATGTCACTAGCCATGAACTAACTCCCACGTAAAAATCATGTGTTAAACATGAACTGTGCTAGTGTATGATATCATCATGTGACAATAAACCTCCACCAATAGGAGGATGACACAAATTCCTTGAACAGCAATTCTCCTTAAACACTTGTACTTGAAAAAACTCCATTCTCAGACAAGGCAAGAAGAAAGTGCACCGTAAGTGGGGAGGATGGGTGGGAAGGTGTGAAGAGGTGATTATCTATTGGAAATACACTTTCAGGTAAGGAAAACATTAAATTTTGAAATGATACCCCACCTTCCTCACACAGAATAGCTAGAATCCCACATTGGAATGGTGGAAGGACCAATGCCAACATTAAATCTAGATAATCTCCCAAATGCAAAGCTCACTGAGTGTGACATGTGATGGCTGGGGTTCCATAGGTACACCTGTGGAAGACCACTTCTTGTCTCAACCAGAGAGAAACAGAGGGAAAGGCAGAAGAACTCCAAGTGTCACAGGGATGGGCAGAATTTTTTGCATGACCAACCAAGCACCTGCAAGCAAGTAGTGGGCAAGCCAAGAAGTATAATGTGGTTAGTGCTTGATCAAACTGTACCATGTGTGTCTCACCTCGACTCAACCAGATAGGCAGATACAGGAGTGACAAACCCATCCTGTTGCACGAAGAAGGCACAATAGCTGTGTATCCTACTTCTCACCATATTGTGCTGTACATAATTGACAAACATGTTTCTAAGGTCCACTACCCCACTGACTAAAAACTGGTAAGTGGCAAAGGTCTTCCATGCTCCATTTGAAGAATTAGGGGAGAGAAATTGCATTGGGAAGACCCAGAGAAGTTCTTGGATTCCCATTGGACATCTACTGGAAAGGTCTTTTACCACAGACATTGCAATGGGTGACATAAAACCCTCTTTTGAAAAGCTGGCAAGCATGAGCCAAAGAAGTGGGCAGTCACTTCCTTGGTGCTGGCTTTTTCTTGATAGTTCATGGAATGTATGGATCAGGCAACTGAATAGATTTAATACCATTAGAATACCCCATGTTAACAGTGGGCTTTTACACCTAATTACAGAGCTAGAGCAGATGGGTTTGGCCCTCTTTGTTATCTCTCACCTGATGCTGATTTTTGGAATTAAACATACACTGGGAAGCAACACCAGCCACTTGGTGGAGTCCTATAAGAAGAAAGAGGATGATGAAAATGTACTTACCTTTCTCAAAAAGGATACATAAATTGAAGAATAGCAACTGGAGGGAGTTTAAATCTCATAGCAGACAAAATAGTCAGATGAGGAACATAATAGGAGATGAATGTATGTGTATTCGTCCACATGTCAGCCTGATGGACCTTGTCCAAAGGTTGGCGAAAATTAGATGCAAGAGAGTGAGACAGATGACAAATTTGAAGTGACAAAATGTGAAAAAACCTGCAAGCATCAATATCCAGGGAAGAATACTCCAACCAGAGTAGTTGGTG